GATGGTTTACTTTGCTGTACAAAACTTCTTAGTTTGATGTATGTAGTCCCATTTGTTTATTTTCTCTTTAGTTTGTCGTGCTCAATAAGATATATCAGAAAAATATTACTACCAAAAATGTTTGAGATTTTACTGCCTATGTTTTCTTCTAGGATTGTTACATTTGTTTCAGGTACAATAATCTCCTTGAGTATTTCCCGAAACAGAGGTATTCTGGTGGTAACTTCCCTAAGCTTCTGTATATCTCCTTATTTATTTATTTATTTATTTATTTATTTATTTATTTATTTATTTAATCTTTACTGGAGGACATTTTTCCTTTTATTTATTTATTCAGATAGAGTGGGAGGGAGAGAGAGAGAGAGAAACAATGTAAAAGGGACACATCGAGTGGCTGCCTCCTGCACCACTTGACCAGGGCTGAGGACAAATTGCAACCGAGGTACTTGCCCTTGACTGGAATTGAACCCCTGACTCATTGGTCCACAGGCTGACACTCTAACCACTGAACAACCGGCCAGGGCTCTCCTTTATAGTTAAAGAATAACTTTGCTGGATATATTATTCTTTTTTTTTTTTGTCTTTCATATTTTCTTTGTATTTCTCTTCAATAATTGCTTGGAGACTAGAAAAAAAATAATTAAACATTAAATTGTACAAATTATGAATCTGTTCCAAAATATACCTACATTAAATAAAATATGCATTTCAGTAAGAGATCTACAATGAATGACTGCATTTTGAGAAGCCTTGCACACTGAGACAGGCCCACTGTTCATGGGAGGAGCTAAGAGACTGCACATCCAATCACAGTTTACAGCGGGCTCTGACCCTCCACCTGCCAGCTTCCCTGCAAATCACTGGCCTGCTGTGCAGGAAAGTGAGTTGGAGGAAGGGAAGAAGCAAGCTCCAGTTCTGAGTTCTTCACAACTTCTCAAACATCTCCTCAGCCTATACAGTACAAGTTCACAAAAGTAAACATGTTAAGGTAAGCAGACAACTCTTTAGAGTCCAAACCCATTTTCTTGCTGTATTTATGTGGAACTCTCCATCTACAATGAGCAGTTGTGAAGAGGTTCCTCTGCAGATATGTCACAGGACCAGGCAGAGCCAGTGGGTCTGAGAAAGCACAGGGCCTGGGATGGAGGCCCCCCAGGAGCTGGAAATGGCCCTTTAGCACAGTCCATGCTGCAGTCTCCTCTCCTATCATCTGGCATAGCGCTTAATGTACTCTTCCAATTTGTTCCAGAAGTCCTCTTTGTCACTCAGGTGATGCTCTGCAACCTTAATAATTCAGTGGGTCATCCAAGTTCAGAAGATCAGTAAACAGAGAGTTTAATCTCCAAACAGCATCCTTTAATGTCCTCAGGGAAGCTCAACCAGTGCCCTCGATGGTCTCTGGATGCTGGGGTGCCAGATCCTGGTCAAGCATTTCACTTTTGGAGGCACTATGTTGTACTCATCAGGAACTTCCATTTTAAATTGAAGTTTTTGCCCTGGCCAATTTGGCTCAGTGGTAGAGTGTCAGCCCATGAACCAATGAGTTATGGGTTCAATTCTGAGCAAGGGCATGTACCTTGGTTGTGATTCATACCTGGCCCTGGTCAGGGTCATGTGGGAGGCAACCAGTCAATGTGTTCTTCTCATGTCAATGTTTCTCTCTCTCTCCCTTTCTCCCCCTTCCACTCTATTTGAAGATAAATAAAAAAAAATCCTCGGATGAGGGTTAAAAATATATATATATTTGCAAAGTATGTATAGGATAAGGGTCTAGTATCCTATATATATAAAGAACTCTATCACTCAGTAACCAAAAGACAAATAACCAAATTAAAATGTGGGCAAACATTTCTCCAAATAAGATTACAGATGGCCAACAAGTAAACAAAGAGTTGCTTAACATCACTAGTCATCAGGGAAATGTAAAATAAAAAACAGGTGAGGTACCACTTCACATTGACTATGATGGCTATAAATTAAAAGGAAAATAAGAGTTAGTGAAGATGTGGACAAATTGGAAACCTTGTGCATTATGGGTAGAAATGTAAAAACCTTCAGCCACTGCAGAGAAAAGTTTGGCAGTTACTCAAAAATATTAAGCATAGTGTTAACGTACAACTCAAAAATTCCACTCCTAGCTATACAACCCAAAGAACTGAAAACAAGTATGTGTAGTTATGTTCATACCAACAGTTATTCAAAATAGCCAAAAGGCATACATATCCAAAATGTCCATCAACAGATGGTGTATACTGTGGTGTATACATACAGTGAAATACTACTCAACCATAAAAGGGAATGAAGTACAGATAATGCTTACACAGATGAACCTGCAGAACATTATCTGAAAGAAGCCAGATATAAAAGGTCACATATTGTATGATTCCATTTATATGTACAATCCAGAACAGATATATTCATCGTGATGGAACACAGAGTAGTGGTTTCCAGGGGCTGTGGGAAGCGGAGAAACTGTTTAATGAGTAAGGGGTTTTACTTTCAAATAATGAACATGTTTTGCAACTAGACAGGGGTGGTGGTTGCACAACACTATGATTGTACTAAAGGCTCTCAAATTGTTCACTTAAAATGGCTAATTTCATCTTAAGTGAATTTTACCTCAATAACTTTTTTATTTTATTTTATCCTCACCTGAGGACATTTTTCCATTTTTTGTTCAGATAGAGTGGGGGGGGTGGGGAGAAACAACGACATAAAAGGGACACATTGAGTGGTTGCCACCCACATGACCCAACCAGGGCTGGGGACAAACTGCAACCGAGGTATGTGCCCTTAGCGGGAACCAAACCCGGGTCTCTCTGGACCATAGGACCACAGGTTGACACTCTAACCGCTGAGCCAAACAGGCCAAGGCCCTCAATAACGTTTTAAATGTGAATGGCCTAAGAGATAAATATAAGCTGGGAGAAGCAGCTGGGGCTTGGAGGAAGTATGTGTGAGAGGTGACAAACTGAAAATAGACGATGGTGGCAACAGACCCCTATGTGAGGAGGAAGGATTCGGAGCCCTCTTGGATGTGGTCTAACTATAACACCTAGGTGAAGGAGCGTTAGAGCTTAAAGATACATTTTTTGTTTGTTTGTTCAAGGTTTGAAGTATTCAATTATACTAAATCTGTAATTTAAAGTTGCTTAAAGGGAATTTGTCTTGATACAAAAATTTTTCAAATTTTTTTTAGATATAAGTATAAAATGACTATTCAAGAAATTGTGAAAGTAGTACCCATTGTTCTGCTCCATGAACATATGTAAATCCTTCACTCTTTCCTAACTCATTTGTTCTGATTTGTTTTTATAGGTGATCTCCAGACAATGCCCAAGATTCTAACCAGTTCTAACTGTTCACCATGGCTATGTTTCCATATTGATTTAACTCCCTATATCCACCTATAAAATTAGAATATACTGCCTTACACCCTCATATTCCTGATTACTCTGAATAATGGTAATGATTTATTCTCTAAATATTTTAGGCTCCAACTTCTTTATTTTTATCATTATTTGAAAATGGTTTATTCTGTCTGCCAGTAATATATTTATCTGATATCTTGAGTTCCAAAGAAATTATCCATATACTTCTTACATGAAGTTTATGACCCACCCACAAAAGCCCTCATTTACAATTCTATCTTATTATATTCTATCACAAAATATGTTTTAACCCACACTGAAAGCAGAAAATGAAATAATTCCTTTAAGATGAAGAGCCAGTCATTAAACTGATGGATCTATTATTCTCTTAGCTTGTTTTCTTTCTTTGAAAGCCTGTGGTGAGTCACTGCCACAAATGATTTTAATGCCTTTTCTATAATTTCACCTAAATGAAATTATACTGTAGGCAATCTTTTTGTTTGACTTCTTTCATTTAGCATAGTGAGATTTTCCATGTTGTTGTATATATTGATAGTGTTACTTTTTTTATTTTAAAAATATTAGTTTCCTGCCCTGGCCGGTTTGGCTCAGCGGTTAGAGTGTCGGCCTGCGGTCCGGAGAGACCCGGGTTCAGTTCCCGCTAAGGGCACGTACCTCGGTTGCAGTTTGTCCCCGGCCCTGGTTGGGTCGTGCGGGTGGCAGCCACTCGATGTGTCCCTTCACGTCGATGTTTCTCTCTCTCTCTCCCTTCCTCTCTCTCCCTCCCACTCTATCTGTACAAAAAATGGAAAAATATCCTCGGGTGAGGATAAAAAAAAAAAATATTAGTTTCCTTACACCAGATTTGCCTTAAGAAAAGTAATTCTATGTTGCTTGTAAATATAAAAATAAAGACAACAATGTAACAGTCAAAAAAAGTCATCCCTATTGTGAAAGAGTAATAAATACTAAATTAATCTTTATCAACAAATAAAATGAAGCAGTTCTCTCAGCTTTATGAAGTCTGTGTATTCAACTTTCATATATTTGTTATATAACAACATTTCTCCTTAGGATAAATAATTATGCCCTATAAAAGATCAAGGCGTTCTTACATGTGTGGCAAACATACAATATATGAGTCAGGATTCTAATTACAAGAGACAAAAATCCAGTTCAAATTAACTAAAGAAAAAAAAAAGGAAATAAATGTACTGGATCAGAAAAATGAAACAGTGAAGGATGATGCAGGCTTCAGACATGACTGGATCCAAGAGATCAAACAATGTCACCAGATTTCTGTCTCTCACCTCCATTGTCCTCTGTGTTATTTATCTTGAAAAAGCTTTTCTCATGTAATGGCAAAGGAAGCTGCTGATGAGTTTTTAACCTTACTAAATCCTTGAAACTTGCAATTCCAGAAAATGTTTCTCTTACTACCCATAATAATACCCGCAAAGGGCTCTATTGGTCCAGACAAGGCCATTTGCCAATCCCTTATTAATCACTAGGTTGAGGGAAATAATAACTGGCTGGCCTATGGCCAATTCACTGGTCTCCCTGATTAATAGTTTCACCAGAATCATATGCATTGAAGGTAAGTCTCAAAGAGGGCACAGAACAAATCACAAAATAACAGATATCTACTACTCAGGCTATTTCAAATAAGAGATGGGATGCTCATGAGCTGAAGGTTTTTCCATGTGTACTACATTAACAGAATTACTAACCAAAGAATTCACTGATATTTATTTAATAAGGACTGAATGATGACTAAATATTTTTATTCTTATACTCATTATAATCAGAGAGTTTCCCTATTGTGATTTTTCCGATGTCGTCTAAGGGCTGCAGCACAGCTAAAATTATTCCCACATTCATTACAGGTGTAGGCTTTTCCTCCAACATGAATCCTCTGGTGTAGCCTAAGGGATAAGATCTGATGGAAAGCCTTCCCACATTCATTACATTCATAGGGTTTCTCCCCAGTATGAATTCTCTGATGTTGGTTAAGGTATGATCCACAACTGAAGGCCTTCCCACATTTGTTACATTCATAGGGTTTCTCTCCTGCATGACTTCTCTTATGATGAATTAAAACTAAAGCATCACTAAAGGCTTTCCCACATTTACTGCATTCAAAAGGTCTCTCTCCAGTATGAATTCTATGATGTCGATTAAGTTGTGAATCAGTCCGAAAAAACTTTCCACATTTGATGCATTCATAGGGCTTTTCTCCAGTATGAATTCTCTGATGCTGATTAAGGTGTGAGCGATAGCCAAAGGTCTTCCCACATTCACTACATTTAAAGGGTTTCTCTCCTGTATGAATTCTTTGATGCAGAGTAAGGGCTATGCGTCTGCTGAAGGCTTTTCCACATTGATTACATTCATAGGGTTTCTCTCCAGTGTGAATTCTCTGATGTTGATTAAGGTGTGCACTCTGTCTGAAGGCTTTGTTACATTCCTTACATTCATATGGTTTCTCTCCTGTGTGAATTCTCTGATGTTCAACAAGGAAGGCATAACGGCTAAAGGCCTTTCCACATTCATTGCATGCAAAGGGTTTTTCTCCAGTGTGGATTCTCTGATGCTGAGCAAGGTGTGCACTCTGTCTAAAGGCCTTGTTACAATCCTTACATTCATATGTTTTTTCTCCAATATGAGTTCTCTGATGTTCACTGAGAAAGAAATCATGGCTAAAGGCTTTTCCACAGTCGTTGCATGCATATGGTTTTACTCCACTGAGAATTCTCTGAGGTTGAGTTAAGAATGAGCAACATCTAAAGGCATCCCCACATTCATTGGGTAATTTTCCAAAATGAGTTGTTTGACATTGAGTAAGTAATGAGTGGAAACTTAAGAGATTTAAAAAATCATTGCTTTCATAAGATTTCTCCCCTGGAGGAATTCCTCTATCTTTACTAAGGTACATACTCTGGTTGAATTCTTCATATTCATTACCAATCAAAGATTCCTTCTCAGCATGTTGTCTTTTATGCTCAGCTGGGACTGAATTTGGGGGGAACATTTTATCATGAATATCAAATTTATGTACCTGCTGTACTATGGGAACTCTCTGTCGTGTTAAAAGTAATGACTTCAAGAGAATGCTTCTCTCAGAATTCTTATATTCATTATCTCTTTTCACAGCATAGATTTCCTTAAGACTTGCCACTTGCCTGCAACGCCTCTCCTGATTTCCATTTTGCTGATCAAATGCGCACTCATATTTCCAAGCTTTTCTGAAACTGGAATATTCAAAGTCATGACTGGTAAGTCTTTCCATTACAATGCCCTGGGATATTTCCTCTTCATCATCAATGTACCATTTTGGGGATAATTCCTTAATTTCATACCAAGACTCCCAGTCTGAAAAATATCAAGAAAGCAAATGTATCTTTTTTACTTTGCAAGGAGAAATAAAACTATTATAGAAGTTGAAGAATTTAATTGGAGTAATGAGGAGAGAAGGCACATGGTTCTGACATCTCTCGAATTATGTTATGCAATTTGAACAAAATACAAAGAAAGCACAAAGAATGAAGAGAGCTACTAGAAGAAGGTATATGTGTTGGTAATGAGGAGGAGATGATTGGAGAAATAGATTAAATGTATGGCATCAAGATGTAGACAAAGTTAAATGCCAAAAAGATAAGAATTTGAAACAACAGATTAGATCATAATCACATTTTCCCTGCCTCTAGTCTTTAAAGTCTCCAGTCTATCCTGCACTATCCAGTCCTATTCATAAGATGAAAAGCTCCATGGCATAGGGATTGTTTACTTCTTTTTCTTATTGTTGCATCCAGTGCCTAGGAAAATGGTAACATTTTGTTGAATCTATGAATACTGACAGAATGCTCAACAACCTCTAAAATTTTATTAGACCAGAGGAGGGGAATTTTATTTTTTCTCAGTGTATAGAATGAATCTGGAGGTCGGCATTTCTCATCATTGAGAGAAAAATGGTGCTTCAATGTACATACTTGATACTTTCAGAACAGGCTATTGGTTGAGATAAAAGAGAAAGAAAACTACTGTTTAAAAGATTCTCTCAAAAAGAGTAAAATGAGAAAGTCCTTTTACTGTCAAACCACAATAATCAGGTAATATATTCAACTTCACAGAATCTGCTTCTAGAGCACCTAGTAGGAGAAAAAAGTCTGAGACACAGGTCTCCCTTTTAAAAACTCTAATGAGAAAGAGAAAACTTCTGTGCATAAAAATTCAATATGACACATAAAGAATTAGTAAATATGATACTGATTATGAGTATAAATGTATAAATGTCAGAAAAACAGAGATAAAACTCTCTAGCTTAGTTAAGGAATAATTCCTGGAGAACGTGAACTTGATTTTCAAGGCTTTGGTAAGGTTTCCAAAATATAGTAATTATTTCCATGATGGAGTCATTTTCATGTTTTTTTGTTTTGTTTTGTTTTTTTATCCTCACCTGAGGACACTTTTTGCATTTATCTCCTGACAGAGCAGAAGGGAGAGAGGGGAGAAAAGAGAGAGAGAAACATCAATGTGAGAGAAACACATCAACAGGCCGCCACCCACATAACCCCAACCAGGGCCGGGAACAAACCACAACCAAGGCACATGCCCCTAAGCAGGAACCAAACCCAGAAATCTCCGGTCTGCCAACCGACACTCTAACCGCTGAGCCAAACTGGCCAGGGCCATTTTCATGTTTTGATGTACTTAGTGATTATTTTAGAATGTACATGTTAGTATTCTGGGGTTAATTAACACGTCGATGTTTCTCACTCTCTCTCCCTCCCATTCTATCTGTACAAAAAAAAAAAAATGGAAAAATATCCTCGGGTGAGGATAAAAATAAAAAAAAAGAAAAAAGAAAGTAAAGCTCCATGCTAGGTCAGTACAAAATTAGAAAACAAAGAACGTATTATCCATCTGTATCCTTCTTCTTTCTAATACATTCTCTTCTTCAAAGAAAGCCCACACCCCTACCAGTTCCTCCTATGTACAACCATGTATATTATCCTCCTTGGACCCCTATCTCAACCCTGGCCTGAGGGCTTTGTTCATTTATCCTCTGTTAGGTCTACACGGTTAATATTTCTTTCTTTTTTTTTAATTTTTTTTCTTTATTGATTTGAGAGAGAGGAAAGGAGAAGGAGAGAGAGACATAGAAACATCGATGAGAACATCGATAGGCCGCCTCCTGCATGCCCCCCACTGGGGATCAGGCCCACAACCTGGGCAAGTGCCCTGACTGGGAATCAAACCGGTGACTTCTTTGTGCATAGGTCAATGCTCAACCACTGAGCCACACCAGCTGGGCTGATCTTTCTTTCTACAGAAGTACAACTACTTCTGTTTCCTCACCCACTCTAAATCTCTTCTGTATCTATCGCTCAGGACTGCTATATTCCCTTTAACTAAGAATAAATCCTCTCTACTCCAGGAAAATAACAGCTTTGTAAAACACCCAATACAATGCTGAGTTAAAGAAGCCTGATCAGAGGAGACTACAGGCATTTCTGACATGGGGGATTCTGAGGTGCCTGGAGCTCCAACCACTCTCTTAAAAGGAAAAGCAAAAAGAATATTATGGACTTAGGCAGCAAAATACTATAGCAAAAGGGTCAAAGCATGATAAACTTTGGAATCCAATCAGAACTAAATAGTAAGTAAGCTTATGTATAATGTTAGAAGAGTAAAAGTTCTTATTAGATGTGAATCTAGTTTGAAACCTAGGAGACTCTACTAGGAATTCTGAGAAAAAAAGACAAGACTTATGGGGAAATCTTTTTTATTAAAATATACTTGACATACAATATTATATCAGTTTTAGGAGTACAACACAGTGATTTGATTTATATTCCTTATGATGTGATCACCAGATTACGTTCAGTAACTATCTGGTATAAGACAATGTTATTGCAATAATATTGACTATTTTCCCTTTGCTGTACATTACATTCCTCTGATTTTTCCTTAAAAAAAAAAAAAAGGATTTGTACCTTATGGGGAAATCTTCAGAAGGAGGAGTTTGGTGCTACTGCCCCAAATATGTCCCAGTGAATAACCTAATGACACACAGACTTACAGATTGGATCTCCTTCCATAAAAGACTGTGTAAAGTTATGTTGACCTATTTGGCAGCCACTAATATATGACAATTTAAATTAATTTTTAAAAATTTAATTCAGTTTCTCAGTCATACCTAGCCGTATTTTAAGTGTTCAATAGACAAACATGGGTAGTGTATTGGGAAGCACAGTATAGATCATTTCCATCATCAAAGAATGTTCTATTAGACAGCACTAGATAGGGCTCCAGATTAATATGATAAAGATTAATTATGGTTGGATGAAGAAAAGACAGAAAAATAGAAACAGGAGTCAGTTAAACAGAGAGAGAAACAGAATACAGATTTGGATAGAGAAAAAGAATTGTGGGCAGAACTATTTTATATATCTCATTAAGCTAGGGAATAAAAATTTAAAAAGGCACCTGGATTTAGTCAAACTAGAGGAGTAGAAGCCATAATGCAAGTGGTAAGGCAACGGAAAAAAATTTGAAGTGAAAGCAATGAATAAAGATTACAATTGGTATATAATTAATTGGAAGAGAGAAGGATTATGGTATACAGAAACACTAAAAGACTCCTATAAAATTACTTTAAAGGAGATTTAAATAAAAATATAAGATATAACTGCACCAAATGAAAAAAATATGTATACATGCTTGTTCACCCCAAGTTAATTTATATTCAGCCAATTTCAATGAGAATTCCTGAATTCTGAACCTGTACAATTATGTTAAAAGATTCGTGGCAAAATGATCAATAATATAAAAGAAGGAAGAAGTTTCTAAGACCAATAATTTGACCTAAGTCTTGCATTTTAGATCTTCTTTTCATTTGTGAAAAAAACTGAACTAAGGTGATATGTGAAATTCTCTATTACTGTGGGGAAATATCAAAAGAAACATACATGAAGCATAAAAAGAAAAACTTATGGGATGCAGAGAACACAACAAAGAGGAGCATGAGTCTCCCATCCAACATATTTCATGAAAATGAAAATGGGGAAAAAAAGCTGGGGTAGTAATACTTATATTAGACAAAAGAGACTTTAAAACAAAGGCTATAATAAGAGACAAAGAAGAACACTACATAATGATAAAATAATCAATTCAACAACAGGATATAAACCTTGTAAACTTCTATGCATAAAACATAGGATCACCTAAGTATATAGAGAAACTCTTGATGAACATAAATGGAAAGACAGTAGTAGGGGATTTTAATACCTCAACTGACATAAATGAATAGATTTTCCAAATACATATTCAAGAAGGAAACAGCAGCCTTATATGACACACCAGACCAGAGAAATTTAAATAATTTTTCCAGAGCATTTCACCCCAAAGTAGCAAAATATACATTCTTTCACATGCATGTGAAACATTTTCTAAGATAGACTACATGTTAGAACACAAAATAAGTCTGAGTAAATTCAAGGAGATTGAAATCATTATCAAGTAACTTCTATGACCACAATGGTTTGAGACTAGAAATCAATTACAGAAAAAAACTGAAAAACACATGGAGGCTAAATAACATGTTACTAAACAATGACTATGATAACATTGAGATCAAGGAAGAAATCAAAAGTCACCGTCTGATAAATAAAATGAAAACACAACACAAAATTCATGGGCACAGCAAAAGCAGTCCTAAGAGGGAAACTCAAAGCAATAGAGGCTTACCTCAAGAAACAAGAAAAATCTCAACTAAACAATCTAACAGTACACCTAAAAGAACTAGAAAAAGAACAACAAACAAAGCCCAAAGTGAGCAGAAGGAAGAAAATACTAAAGATCAGAGTGAAATTACATAAAATAGAATCTAAAAAAACCCCCAAAAAACCAAAGATCAATGAAACCAAGAGCTGGTTCTCTGAAAAGATAACAAGACTGGTAAACCTTTAACTAGATTGATCAAGAAAAAAAGAGGATCCAAATGAATAAAATCAGAAATGGAAGAGGAACCAGCTAGCGTGATTCAGTTGGTTGAGCATCACCCCATGCACCTAGAGATCACCAGTTTGATTCTCAGTCAGGATACATGCCCAGGTTGTGGGCTCAATTTCCCTCTCCCTTCCTCTCTCTCTAAAATCAATAAAAAACATATTTTTCAAAAGAAATAGAAGAGAAGTAACAACTTACAATTCAGAAATACAAAGAATAGTAAGAAAATACTATGAACAACTATATGCCAACAAATTGGACAATCTGGTAGAAATGGATACGTTTCTAGAAATATACAATCTTCTCATATTGAATCAAAAGAAAAAGAAAATCTAAACAGACTGATTACAACTAATGAAATTGAAGCAGTAATAATAAATAAATAAATAAATAAATAAATAACTTCCAACAAACTAAAGTCCTGGACTGGATGGCTTCACAAGTGAAATTTACCAAATATATATATATATATATATATATATATATATATATATATATGTATATATATTTTTTTAAAGAACACAGATTCTTCTTAAACTATTCCAAAAAATTCTAGAAGGGAAAACTCCCAGCTAATTTCACAAGGCCAACATTATCCTAATTCCAAAACCAGATAAAGACATAACAACAACAACAACAAGCTACAGACCAATAGCCCTGATGAATATAGATGCTATATATCAAGAAAATATTAGAAAACTGTATCTTGCAATTCATTAAAAATATCATACACCATGATCAAGTGGGATTTATTCCTGGGATGCAAGGTTGTTCCAATATCCACAAATAATTTAACATGATACACCCCATAAACAAAGTGAAGGATAAAAATCATATGATCATATACATAAACACAGAAAAAGCATTCAAAAAATCTAACACCCATTTTTTATAAAAACTCTCAGCAAAGTGGGAATAGAGGGAACATATCTCAACATTATAAAGGCCATAAATAACAAACCTACAGCCAGCATCATACTTAATGGAGAAAAACAAAAATAATTTCCTCTGAGAACAGGAACAAGACAGGATGTCCACTGTCACTACTCTTAATCAACACTGTACTGGAAGTACTAGCCACAGCAATCAGACAAGAGGAAAAAAATAAAAGGCATCAAAATTGGAAAGAAGAAAGTAAAACTGTCTTTTTATTTGCAGATGACATGATACTGTACATAGAAAACCCTAAAGACTCAATCAAAACACTACTAGAACTGATAAATGAATTCAGCACTGTAGTAGGATACAAAATTCACATCCAGAAATCAATGGCATCTTATACACCAGTAATGAACTCTTAAAAAGAGAAACTAAAACAACAATCCTATTTACCATTGCAAAAAAAAAAAAAAAAAAAAGATACTTAAGAATAAACTTAACCAAGGAGGTAAAAACCTGTACTCAGAAAACCGCAGGACTTTGTAAAAAGAGACAGAGGAAGATATAAACAAGTAGAATAACATACCATGTTCGTGGATTGGTGGAATTAACACCATTAAAATGTCCATACTGCCCAAAGCAATCTATAGGTTCAATGCAATCCCTATTTTTTACCAATGGCATATTTCGCAGATCTAGAATACTGCAAAAATTTATATGGAACCAGAAAAGACCCTAAATAGCCATAGTAATCTTGAAAAAGAACAAAATTGGAGGGATCACAATACTGGATATCAAGTGATACTACAAAGCCACTGTAATCAGTGTTGGGAAAATTAGTCAGGTACATGCAAAAAAATGAAACTAGACCACCAACTTACACCATACACAAGAAAAAACTCAAAATGGATAAGACTTAAATTGCTCTGTCCGGTTTGGCTCAGCAGTTAAGAGCATCAGCAGGCGGACCAAAGAGTTGAAAGTTCAATTCCCAGTCAAGGGCATGTACCTGGGTTGCAGGTTCAATACCTGGCCCAGTTTGGGGTCCTGCGGGAGGCAACAAATTGATGTATCTCTCTCACATCAATGTTGCCCTCTCCCCTTCCTCCTTCCACTCTATCTAAACGTTAATAGAAAAATATCCTTGGGTGAGAATTAACAACAACAAAAAAGACTTAAATATAAGTTGTAAAACCATAAAATCTTAGCCCTGGCCGGTTTGGCTCAGCGGTTAGAGCATCGGCCTGCGGTCCGGAGAGACCCAGGTTCGGTTCCCGCTAAGGGCATGTACCTCGGTTGCAGTTTGTCCCCGGCCCTGGTGGGTTGTGCGGGTGGCAGCCACTCGATGTGCCTCTTTCACATCGATGTTTCTCTCTCTCTCTCTCTCTCTCTCTCCCTCCCACTCTATCTGTGCAAAAAATGAAAAAATGTCCTCAGGTGAGGATAAAAAAACAAAACAAAACAAAAAAACCATAAAATCCTAGAAGAAAATGTAGGCAGTAAAATCTTAGACATCTCATGTAGCAAAATCTTCACCTATACATTGCCTAAGGCAAGAGAAACAAAGGTAAAAATAAACAAACGGGACTACATCAAACTAAAAAACGTCTGCACCACAAAAGAAACCATCATCAAAATGAAAAGGGAACCCACGGTATGGAAAAACACATTTTCCAATGATACATCTGATAAAGGCAGTGGTTCTGAATACACACTTTTCCAATGAGGTCATACAAACGGTCAAGAGACATATGAAAAAATGCTTGACGTCACTAATCATTAGAGAGATGCAAATTAAACTGACAATGAGGGCCCTAGCTGGTTTTGCTCAGTGGTTAGAGCATCTGCCAGGGAACCAAAGAGTCTTGAGTTTGATTCTGGTCAACGGCATGTACTTCGATTGCAGTTTGATCCCTAGCCCTAGTCAGGGTCATGTGGGAGGCAACCAATTGATGTGTCTCTCCCACATTGATGTTTCTCTCTCTCTCTCCCTCCCTCCCTCTCACTCTTGTCTGAAGATAAATGGAAAAATATCTTTGGGTGAGGATTAAAAAAAATGACAATGAAGTACCGCCTCACACTTGCCACAATGGCTACCATCAACAAATCATCAAACAACAAGTGCTGGCAAGAATGTGGAGAAAAATGAACCCTAGTACACTGCTGGTGGGAATGCAGAATAGTGCAGCCACTGTGGAAAACAGTGTGGAGTTTCATCAAAAATTAAAAATGAGACTGCCATTTGACCCAGTGATCCCACAGTTAGGAATATATCCTAAGAAGCCTGAAACACCAATCAGAAAGAATATATGTACCCCTATGTTCATAGCAGCATTATTTATAATAGCTAAGATCTGGAAACAGCCCAAATACTCATGAATAGATGAATGGAGAGAAAAGTTGTAGTATATTTACACAATGGAATACTATGCGGCTGTAAAAAAGGAGGATCTCTTACCCTTTGAGACAGCATGGAGGGACCTGGAGATTATTATGCTAAGCAAAATAAGCCAGTCAGAGAAAGACAAATATCACATGATCTCGCTTATATGTGGAGTCTAATGAACATAATAAAATGATAAATAAAATAGAACCAGAGGCATGGAAACATGGAACAGACTAATGAATCTCAGAGGGAAAGAGGGAAGGGAAGAGGAAAGAGAATAACCAAAGAACTTATATGCATATATGTATTGCCCACGGACACAGACAATAGGATGATGGAGGCCTAGAATGGAGTGGAAACCAAGTGGTGGGCGTCAAGGGGGAATAAAAATGGGGGACATCTGTAATATTCTCAACAATAAAGATTTTTTTTTAAATCACAAAATAGTAACATAAACATATTTGTTAGAGACATGAAGAAAACACCAAAAGAAACTGAAAAAGAAAAGAAAGTGCAAAACAGAAAGGCTACCCACTGTATGGGAGAGCATAATTGCCAATGATATATCAGATAAGGGGTTAATTTCCAATATATATAGAGTGCTCATACAACTCCACAAAAGGAAGACAAAGAACCCAATTAAAAAATGGGCAGAGGAACTAAATAGACACCTCTCCAAACAGGACATACAATGGCTAAGAGACACATGAAGAAATGCTCATCATCACTAATCATCAGAGAGATGCAAATTAAAACAACAATGAGGTATCACCTCACACCTGTCAGAATGGCTGCCATCAACAAATCATCAAACAACAAGTGTTAGCGAGGGTGTGGAGAAAAGGGGAGTCTAGTACACTGCTGGTGGGAATGCAGACTGGTGCAGCCACTATGGAAAACAATATGGTGTTACCTCAAAAAATTAAAAATTGAACTTCCATTTGACCCAGTGATCCCACTTCTAGGAATATACCCTAAGAAGCCTGAAACACCAATCAGAAAGAATATATGTACCCCATGTTCGTAGCAGCACTATTTACAATAGCTAAGATCTGGAAACAGCCCAAGTGTCCATCAGTAGATGAATGGATAAAAAAGCGGTGGTACATATACACAATGGAGTACTATGCAGCTGTAAGAAAGAAAGATCTCTTATCCTTTGAGACTACATGGAGGGACCTGGAAAGTATCATCCAAAGTGAAACAAGCCAAACAGAGAAAGACAAATATCATATGATCTCACTTATTTATGTAATATAATGAACATAACAGTCTGAGGAATGGGGTAGTCCCAGAGACGTGGAAGTGGGGTACAGACTGACAATCCCCAGAAGAGGGGGTGGTGGGGGAGAGATAAACCACAGAACTTATATAGATGTATGCATGAACAGTGGACATGGACAACAAACTGGGGAGAGGGCAGAGAGGAAGGAGGGGGGGGAATCAGTGGGGGAAAAGGAGCAACATCTGTAACAAAAATTAATTAATAAAAAAAAAAGAAATTAATAAAAAGAAAAGAAAAGAAAGTGGATCCATGAGGGAAACTGGGAAGCAGGGCCAGAGACTGTCTTTTTTAAAGGAATAAATCTTGTAAAACCACTTGACTCTTTAAAAACGGTGCATATATAACTTTGGTAGTAACTGTCATAAAAATAAAAACTCTAAAAATAAATCTATAAATGTACACAATTCTGACTATAAATGGAAAAGAAAAGGTGGGAAAGAGTGGAAGTCTGGCTTTAGGCAAAAGCATTATAGAGAATATAATTTGATAGAAATAAGAAGGATAAAACCCAAGGTATAAGTGAGGTTTCTAGGGATGTGCATGCTAAAGAGATTTTAGTTTTCTTCTGGAGCCAGGGCAGCCTGCTCGCTCACCACCACTTGGGCTGAAACCTTACAACAGCCTACCCTACCCGATTCCACATCACTCACCTGTATATTGACCATCTGACATTACTCTTTCCACTATCCAAGGTTCCTTCCCTTGCTCCAATAAGGAGATCATGTTGGGCTTGGAGATGGAGAGTCCTGTTTACAGAAGAAAAATGAAATCGAGAGAGACAGACAGAATATTCTATAGCTGTTCCAGGACTCACATTCAAATCTCTTGGTCACTAGGCAAGAAAGGACATTAGAAGAAGGGCTATAGAATGGAATGATGTTTGTATGGAGCATGAAGATGAAACTTCTTCCACAGCTGTGGTTCTCAAAGTTCTAGAGCAGAAGAACCATAACCTAGGAACTTACCAGAAATACATATTCCCAGTCCCTAACCCAGACCTACTGAATCAGAAACCACAGTAGTTCTCAAACTTTCATGGGCATCAGAATCATTCAGAAGGCTCACTAAAACCTAGACTACTGGACATATTCCCAGAGTTTCTGATTCTGTAGTCTAGAGTGGGATTCCCCAATTTGCAATTTAACAATTTCCCATGCCATACTGATGCTGCTATTCCAAACCATCATTCTACAGCAAAGGGAGTTACTCATTTCTAAATCTATAAAACTACTTCAAATCACCTGGGAACAGAAGTAAAAATTCAGCTAAGCAAAGATGCCTGAGATATTCCCAATGGAGGAAGCAAAAAAAAAAAAAAAAAAAACCCAGAGGGAAGGTTTTGAGTTATGGAGGAGACACATCCTTACCAAGCCATACCAAATTCCTGTAGTTCTCCAACATGACATCTCTGTATAAATCCTTCTGAGATGGGTCCAGCCATTCCCACTCTTCTTGGGAAAAATCTATAGCCACATCCCTAAAGGTTACCAACCCCTGAAATTAAAAAATATAAATTCTTTTTACCAAGTGTTCCCATACAGTCCTAGGGGGGAAAAAAAAAGAATTCTGCCAGAGTTCAAAGTTCTAAGTGGGCCAAGGGATATCATTATTGGGGAACAAGTACATGTCCAGGCTTTTTAAACATTTTAAGAAAATGAGAAATATCAGAAACAGACTCAATCCTCGAAAATTGTACATTTTGTGAAAGAGAAAGGACATATACACAGAAAAAAATTAGCTTATAGCATAAAACATAAGTTTTATGACATGAAAATATATGAGTAAAGGCTAAGTTTTATGTTACATATACTAAATATCAGTACATTCTTATAAGGGAGAATGCTTTTATATTCCCCAAACTGGAGTATCATTTGGCTCAGAGTAGTGAAAGAAGGCCCAGAATTGGGCTTTAACAAAAGGGTACGGTCTGAAATTTAGACTCCATATGTGAGGGAAAAGTTCCAGGAGTGAATTTTGATGAAATAATGAAGTATATGTGAAGAAATTTAGATCGAAAGGTTATATAAAAAAAATCTAGGAAAAACTTACATGTCCAAAAATTAGAATTTAAGATTTACCACTGATCTATAAGCTGTGAGTAGAAGGATACATGTTTTTAAAGGTCATGTACACCAAGAGGCTATTATAAAGCCTGTCAATGTGGCTCAGTGGATTGGGCATCGTCCTATGGACTGAGAACTCCCGGTTCAATTCCCGGTCAGGGCACATGCCGGAGTTACGGGCTGGATCCCCAGTAGGGAACGTGCAGGAGGCAGCTGATCAATGTTTCTCTCTCACATTGATGTTTCTCTCTCTCTCTAAAAAAATCAATAAAAACATATTTAAAAAAAAACAAACCTGTCACATTGTAAATACTTGGGAAATATTTTCCACTTATTGAATAAATGGTAAAGATTCCTATGATACATCTATATGAAAGAAGAATACACAATGCTTAAAAATGACAGTGTTCTATTTTGCATTGCATGATCTTTTTTTATTAAAAATAATAAAATATCAAATAGTTATTCTACTCAGTAAAATATGAATAAATGTGGATAGAGAAAAAAAGCCATACAACTGCATAGTGTTGTATAACTTCCATGTGCCCTTCTATACTTCTGTGTTGTGGGAGGCTAACCTGTATTGATTGATTACATCAAGGGGCTCCTTCCCACCACAATTTTGGTTGGGTTAAGCCACATGCAAGACATGGGAGAGAGGCGAGTGAGGCACAAAATTTTTTCCCCTGGCTCCCTCCTTGTAGCACCACCCTGTGTGGTCTCTATCCTTCAATCAAAGGTCACAGTGGCTGTCAGGGGACCTCCCCACTCAGATATCTCTTTTTCTAGGTCCAGGCCTAAACTTAGTTCCCCCAGGATATAGCATTATCCTTTGTAGTTTTTCTATACACTTGTAAATAGTCCCCTTTTGAGTTTCTTGCCAGAACCTTGACTGGCAAACAGTCGATCCAATGTACTTCTAGGATGTGACCAGAGATCTAACAAAAATACCACTAGGCAATTCTACTATTCTTCCTTAATAAATTCACTTTCCCACTTCCCCACATCTATTTCATACTTTCTATCTCTTTAACCACCAGCAAGTCCTCCCCTGTTCTCACTTCCTCATCCTCTAGCCCTCCACATGTGTTTACTGACCTGTATCTGTACTCATATATTCTGCCTTCCCTCTGTTACTACAAATAAAACTCTAGGCTTCTTATCTAAGACCAGTCCTTCCACTTGTCCATACAAGGACGTTGTCTCCTCTACCCCTTATAAACATCACAGAGATATCAGACATCTCCTTTGTATTATCAGTATTTTCTCACTTTACCGGATTATTCCTATCAGTATACAAACTGATGCAATATCTTCCATCTATAAATAGATAAACAAATCCCTTTCCATGATCTCACTCTGGTTATTGTCCCATTTCTCTCTTCCTTTAAATAACGAAACTCTTCCAAAGAGTTATTTAGATCAATGATGTCCAAGAGAATACAATGTGAGCCACGTAAATATTTAAACTTTTCCAGTAGTTACATTAAAAAGGTTATATAATGCCCTGGCCAGTTTGGCTCAGCGGTTAGAGCGTCGGCCTGCGGTCCGGAGAGACCCGGGTTTGGTTCCCGCTAAGGGCACTTACTTCGGTTGCAGTTTGTCCCCGGCCCTGGTCGGTTGTACGGGTGGCAGCCACTCGATGTGTCCCTTCACGTCGATGTTTCTCTCTCTCTCTCCCCCTTCCTCTCTCTCCCTCCCACTCTATCTGTACGAAAAATGGAAAAATATCCTCGGGTGAGGATAAAAAAAAAAAAAAAGGTTATATAATAAGTAAAGTTAATTTCATAATATTTTTATTTAACCCAATATAGCTAAAATGTTATTTGAACCTGTAATAAATATAAAATTATTAATGCTTTACATTCTTTTTTGTACTCAATCTTCAAAATCCAGTATCTATTTTATACTTACATAGCACATCTCAATTCAGAGTAGTCATATATGGCTAGTAGGTACATTAATGAACAGCACAGAAAATAGAGACTCATTGTCTCTATTCTCACTTTTTTTCACCTTCTATTCTTTTAAATCTATTACAATTATGTTTTCATCCAACTACTCTATAAAGTAGATCTTTTCAAGGGTATCAGTCGCTTCCATGTCATCAAATCCAGTGGTCAATTCTCAGTATTTATCTTCCTCAGTCTCTCTCAGAAGAATTTAACTCAGCTGATCATCACCTCCTTGAAGATTTTCTACTCTTGACTTCCAGGACCCATCTCTTCTGGTTCTCCTTCTACATCAGTCCTTCTCAGTCTCTTTTGCTGGTTCCTCTTCTTCTTGTCAGCCTCTAAATGATGACTGTCCTAAACTCAGTCCTTGGACCTCTTTCCTATCTACATTTACTACAATCCTACCCTCAAAATAATCTTGCCTGGCTGGTGTGGCTCAGTGGTTGCGTGTCAACCCATGAACCAAGAGGTAGCCAGTTCAATTCCCAGTCAGGACACATGCCTAGGTTGTGGGCCAAATCCCCAGTGGGAGCATGCAAGAGGCGGCCAATCCATGTTCTCTCTCTCTCTCCCTTCTTCTCTCTCTAAAATGAATAAAGAAAAAAAAATTTTGGAAAAAAAAAAACTTACTCCCTGCTTTCACAGAGGTAGTTCCTTGCTTCAATATCACTTCCTCAGAAAGGCCATCCTTGACCTCCTATTTAATAAGGTACTCAATAATCACACTTTGTCCTTTGTTTCACTTGCATTCATCCCCAATACAATAAATCATGATCCACCTAAAGAGAGTTCTGTTTCGTCACACACTTGAGTACAACATTGAGTAAAAGAGATACTAAATGTTTTATGGAAGGATTATATGAACAAATGGTGGAGAGAGAGAAGTGGAGACAGTGTTCACTGGGCTATCTGACTCTCTTTGTAGTCCAAAGCCCTAGAAAATGAGATAGAATTTCTAGAAACAAAGTGAAAAACCTCAACTTACCTGGGACATGGATTTACAAAGTCCAACAGCCATTTCTCTTTCCGACTTCAATTTTCTCTTCTGGGGAACAAAGTCCTGAGAAGGGAGAGTTAAGGAAGAAAAAATGGCAGACCATCCCTATGTTGCTGATCTGAGACTTACAAATATGGAACTATTGCCTCTTTTATGGTCCCCACAGCCTCAGCCCTACCCACTTCCAAGATCAGAGAAAAAGGCCAAAGCTGATATTAATCCCTGAAGTCCTGATTGATAACAAGAAAATACAGCTTGAGTTCACCAAAATCTAAAGTCCATCCTGTGGCCAACAAGGAAGTTTATGATCTGGCTGTGGCTACCCCTTAGACCTCATCCTACCTTTCTCCCCCTTGCTCACCCCACTCTAAGCACACAGGTTTCATCACAGCTCCTCAAACACTGTGTGCACTTTCTTCAAGGCTGTTTGTTGCCTTTGCTTTTCCTTTTGCCTAGACATGTCTCAGTCACTTTCTTCATTCCTATCTGTGCTCACCATATCAGAGGGACGTCCCTAAAAATTCAATCTAAAGAGAACTTCACTTCTAGTCTTTTTTTCCTTATCTTGATTTATTTTTCTTCTTAGCATTTAACACCATCGAATATGTTACTTATTTTATTCCTGATCACTGTTTTCAATTGAAGTCAGATCTTTCCAATCAATAGTGTAAGATCTAAGAGATCTAGGATTTGTTGGGTCCACTGGTATATCTCTAGTGCTACAATAATGCTAAAAACCATTGTTAAGTGCTAAAAGAGTATTTGATAAGTGAATAAATAAATCTTCCTGTGCCTCCTGTAACACAGTGATGCTATTAGATATATTGTATATGTCATTATCTTATTTAATTTTCACAAAACTGCAAAGGTAGGTGTCATTATCCCCATTTTACCAACAAGAAAAATTGAGATTCAGAAAGCTTAAACAACTCAAAGTCATAAGAGTCAGAATGTAGTGTGACCAAACACTGGTTCTCTTTCACGAGACAACAATGTTTGAATGGGAAATAGTCAACATAAACTGAGAAATCAATGCCATATATTACTTAGAGAAGCATCTTTAGAGATAGCAGATGTTACCATTATTATTCTACAGAAATTCAGCCAGAGGCAATCATTGCCAAATTTTAACACTAAACCAATAACAATCTCCACAGCCTCAAATACATTCCTTACACTCTCAGAGCCAACATTTCTTCAATTCTAAAAATGATAATAGTTGTGTTTGACCTAGAATTTAGGATACATGACCACCTAATTCTGGGCTACTCTGCACAAGCCAACTTAGTCTCTAACAAAGTTACTTCCTTAGTGCAATGCAGTTTGAAATTGTCCATAAAAGTCTCTGTAACCTGAGAGGAGGTTTGAAGTCTTCTCAGCATCTGAGAGTTCTAACTAGTATCTGCATAAAAGAAATGTATTTAAAATTTCTGTTTGCAAAGAGCTGAGTATCCCTTGGGTAACATTTTCCATATTTGAGATGAACCATCTGAAAGGAACTTGTGTTAAAGACTTGGGCAGTATATAGCCCTCAACCAATTCACAGACTCTGCACTCCTTCACTCATTGCCTACGTGACCTTGGGCGAGTTAATCCACCTCTCAGAAACTTTTTTCCCTTTTATGCCAAGATGTATGAGCCAACTCCTGGCATAGAAAAGTACCATGCTTGTTTTCACTTAGATTATACATACACATTTGGAAAATAAATGAGAATATTTTTCTTCATTAACTGACAAAGTCAGAACCAAAAATTTAGTTCTCTTAATACATCAGAAAAAAAGCCATGGATCATCAACCTCTCTTAGCGCCAATCATGAAAGAGTTTGTCAAGAAAAATGCTAAAATCTCTAATTCCATGGCCTAAGGAGAGGAAGACTCAGCTCTCTGGTTGGGCTTTCCTACCCCAGAGGCAGCCAATTTGAGGATGATCTCCCCACCATGTTTTCAGACTGGGTCCTGTGATTCACAAAGGGACTGAAGGAAGAGACCCAGATTTAGTTCCCATGTCCCAAAGGTTCCTAGTCCAAGACCACTGACAATCCTCTCCAACATCCTCAGAACCCAGGACCCCCATTTTTCACTTTAGTAATTAAAAGCAAGGACTCCAGAGCCAAACTGCATGGCTTCAAATTCTAGTTTTGTCACTTATTAACTGAATGAACTTGGGAAAGTAATTTTAATCTTCCTGTGGCTCACAATCACACACTGAGTCATACATACACTAATTCTCACCCAATCACACAAATACACACGGTCAAATAATCACACCTGTAATGTCATACACATACACAGTGGCATTTACACAAAGTTAGAGATGATGACACACAGCCACTCCAACAGAGAGACAGTCGCACACAATCACACACCGTTACATACCACACAAGGTCACACATTCTATCACAATTACTCATACAAAATTATACCTGCAGAAATAGATGGTCGTGGGCACACCTGCTGCACACACATTCAAACACAATTATATCCACAGAGGCAAGTGGTCAAACACACACACACACACACACACACACACACGTCACACCCTTAGTCTCTCAGAAATCCATACGCAATAACACATACTTGTACCTGCAGAGACAGTCACTCACACACACACACACATTCTCCAGCTTTATACCGGAGTAGACAGTAACCGTCGAACACAACCACAATCTCACACACATTCACACACACACACACACACACGGTGACACACAAAATCACATTCTGTCACACCTGCAGTTTGTCACATAGTTACACATAATGACACAGTCTCCCTAATGACACCCGCCTGGTCACCGTCCCGTCCCAACCGGTCCACCCCCCAAGCCTGTCGCTGACCTCTTGCTCCCGCGAGAAGCCAGGCCCAACTCACCTTCTGGCACCGCGGGTTCTGGAAACCCAACTAGCGAACCAAGACCCGCGACGTCGCCCCCTAGACTCCCCAGCGGCGCGGAGAGGGGCGGAAGCTGAGGCGCGCTGGACCCTAGAAATCTGCGGGGAAAACATCCAGCTGCAGGAACTGGGACTATCTACTCAGCTTTTCCTTGCGACTCCGCGAACCACGAGTCCCAGAAGGCTTCGCGCCGTGACGTTCTTTGCAGAACTACATTTCCCAGAGGGCCCAACGCCGGGCTCTACTTTGCGCATGCGTTACAGGCAGCCAATCGCTTAGGGGCGGGTACCCGAGAGCTGAGTGCCGCTCAGGGCGAACCTGGGCGACTGTGTGTGAGGAAACGGCGAAGCTGCGAGCGTCTGTGACTGTTTGCTTAGGTGTGGCCGTTTTTTGTGCGTGTCTGCCACTGCACACTTTTGTGCTTGCGCACCAGGGGGCGGTGGGTTCTGTTGGTGCTGAGAGTTTCTGTATTTTAAATTACGTCCTGTCTGTCAGGCAGACTGTATGACAGACTGTGGGTCTGTTGCGACGAGAATGTGGGTGATTGTGGTTGTGGGAGTACTGTGGCTGACTTAGGACTTGACCGGTTCTGTACCTCTGTTGTTATCCCAGAGGTCGCAGTTTACCTGTGTCACGCAGTTTACCTAGTCTTGCCTTTAGGGTTGAATCCGTGGAAGAAGCCTTGATGTGTCTGTGTGTGTGACCGTTTCCAGATCTGACTGTTCTCCCATCCCCACCCCATCCCTCACTCCCAGCCATGGGCGGGGCCACTGTTAGCTTCCTTTTTATATCCTTTTTCTACTTGTACCTGATGTGATGTGGGCACAGAAGGGTAATTAGATTCCATTTGTAGGGAGATGCTCATTTGCACCAAAGCCGTTTATGTTGCAGCCAGTAGCTCTGGAGTTTCTCTTGCTGCTGCTTCAGTCTTTTCACTTTACAACTTTAAGAAACTGCCCACAGTCAGGAGGACACACGTGAGTCCATGAGTGATGTTAAAAACAGAGCTGGACAGTAGTAGAAGTGGGAAAAAAAAAAAGATTTTATTGAGGAACTATTTCAATAGGGGACAAAAGGCCAGTATAGAACTGGGCCCAATTCCAAATACAGTGAGAACAAGTGGGAATTTACAGGCAAGGAACAAGTTGGGGAGGGCGGGAGGTGTCAGTGAATGGAAAATTACTAAGAGGAGACATAAGGGTAGGGAGGAATTCTTGCTGAGAGGAGGCCAGGGTGATCATACATCACCTGGGTGGGTAAGGAATTTAATTAGTTATTGTGATCAAATATCAAGAACTCTGGCAAAACCGATTTGACAGAATTCTTGCTAAAACAGATCATACAAAGGGAAACACTGAAGTCAAAAGGTTGAAGTCAGGTTGAGAAGTGTGTTCAGAGGAGCCTGACTAAAGTTTGATCAAGGAGACAGTCAGTGAAAGTCCTAAAAAAGCAGCATTCTTCCCCATCACTAGACCCTGGAAGATCTGGAAGGTGCACCCAAGTCAAGACCTAGGTAAGTAGGGATATGTGGAAGCAAGTTCTTGAGAACCCACCCTTGGAGAATAATCTCTCTAATCCGCTCCCCACAAAGATCCCTGGCTAAGGCCAGAGAGTCATGAACAAAGGGAGTCTGGATACTAGGGCTGAAGTGATTTGCTGTTTATGAAATTGTGCATTGTTACTTTCAGAAAAAAGCCAGCAGATGTTTTTTGTTAATCCTGACCCAAGGACATTCTTAAGTTGATTTTTTTAGATAAAGTGGAAGGGAGGGAGGGGAGAAACATTGATGTGAGAGAGACACATCAATAGTTTGCCTCCCACATGACCCTTACCTAGGCTGGGATTAGAACCTGCAACCCAGATACATGCCCTTGACGGGGAGCCACCCACTTTGAAGGCCTCCGTCAGGGCCTCAGGCAGTGAGTTGCAGAGATAGAAGGGGACAACGAACTCTCCTCCATCCCAAGAGCCAGTGCCACCCCAAGCTGATGGGACAGCCTTGATCTGTTCCTCCAAGCCCCACTCGCACCATCTGGCAGGTGCAGCATTGCAGCACCTGTGTAAAGGGATCACAATTCAGAACTGGGAAATCTGGCATGACTCCCTTAGAGCTGCCCTTCAGGAGCTCTGGTGGGGTGCTGCTGAGCTAGAAGGCAAATGCATTGTTCCCTTCCCAAGGGCCCAGGGCCTGACCCATCGCCAACAAAGGGCTACCTGGATTAGCATTCTCAAAATCGGCTGGTATCACCTGCCAAGAGCAGTCCCACAGGGGGAGGGAAGTGCAAACCAGAACCGTGACATTTGGACATTTGGAGCAACCCCTTCAGAGGCATCCATCAGGAGCTCTAGCAGTGAGCTTCAGAGACAGAAGGGAGTGACAAGCTCTCTCCCCTCAAGAGCCGGTACCACACCAAACAAATGACAAGTAATGGCAAAGATGTGGAGAAAAGGGAACCTTTGTGCACTGTTGGTGGGAATGTACACTAGTGCAGCCACTGTGGAAAACAGTATGTTTCCTCAAAAAATTAAAAATGTAACTGCCTTTTGACCCAATGATCCAACTTCTGGGACTATATCCTACGAATCCCAAAACACCAACTCAAAAAAATATGTGCACCCCTATGCTCATAGTAGCATTATTTACAATAGCCAAGACCTAGAAATAGCCCAAGTGCCCATCAGTAGATGAGTGCATAAAAAAAGCTGTGGTATATTTACACAATGAAATACTACACGGGCATAAAAAAGGAGGAACTCTTACCTTTTGAGACAGCATGGATGGACCTGAAATGTATTATGCTAAGTGAAATAAGCTAATTAGAGAAAGACAAATACCATATGATTTCACTGATATGTAGAATCTAATAAACAAAATAAACTGACAAACAAAATAGAACCAAAGGCATGGATACATAAAACAGGCTGTCAGTTGTCAGAGGGGATGGGGGAGAAAGGGTTGGATGAAAGAAGGTGAAAGAATTAGCCAAAGAACATATATGCATAACCCATAGATACTGAGAACAGTGTGGTTATAGCCAGAGGGAAGGGGGAGTGGGTGATGTTGGTGGGGGAGGGCAGGGGAGAATGTTGATATCTGTAATAATGTCAACAACAAAAATAAATGCTTAATATTTCCTTAATTCTTGTATTGCAAGCCCATTGATTAAGTTGCATTATTTAACAGATATCCATAGCACTCTAGAAATGTGACTTCCTGATTTATATATTATATGAATTCTGATTTCACCTCCCCTAAATAAAGGAAAATATATTCTGATGCAGTAATTCAATGTGTGGTCACATGAGTGAAATTTATGGTAAAATCAAGACACAAAGAAAATATTAGAGAGCGCATTGGGTGCTTTACTATTTTTGTCTGTTCAGCTATTTCAATAAGGTGAGAAGAGCCAGGGGAAATAGGTAGGAAAAAAAATCACCCACTACTGTAAAAAAAAAAAAAACAAATAAAAAAGTACAAAACAATTTAATAGAGATAGGATAATTTCTTCAACAAATAGTTTTAAAACAATTAGATATCATATGCAAGAAAGAAAGAAAGAAACCCCAGCAGTCCAAGTGTCCATATCAGTAGATGAGTGGATAAAACAGCTATGGCACATTTACACAATGGAATACAACTTGGCTTTAAAAAGGAAAATTTTACCCTTTGAGATAGCATGGATTTTGACCTGGAGGACATTATGCTAAGTGAAATAAGCCAGTCAGAGAAAGACAAATACCTTATGATTTCACTCATATGTGGAATTTAGTGAACAAACTAAACTAACAAGCAAAATAGAGACAGACTCATAGATAGCAGGAAGACAGCTGTGTGTGTATGGGGCGGGGTGTTGAATGTGAAGTTATGGAGGGATAGAGCAAAAAAGGAAAAATAAAAGAGGACGAACTCAAAAAGAGCAAACCTCAACCTAAATCTTATACCTTAAAAAAAACTCAAAATGTATCATAAATGAGGCAATTTTCATGTTAAACCTAAAAAATGTTGTGCATCTGAAAAAAAATGAAAACAAAATACAATATTTTTAGGATGCAAGTAACTGATAAAGACTTTGTGTCCAGAATATATTATGAAACTAAGTATTAAAAAAAATATTGACCACACCCAGTGGCAGTGAGGTGAAGTGAGTTGGCCCTCTACTTCATCAAGAGGGTATTGTCATCCAGGATGAACCATGCCTGCCCAGAAGCAATGAAGTAGAACTGGCAACTTATCATCCTTCCCCATGTTATCAGGGACCAATGGGGAGCTGAACTTCCACCACTATCCAACAAGCTGTAGTAACAAGGTGGTGCTACTCAGCACTGTTTTCTCTTCTTCATCTTCTTCATCCCTGTCTCAACTGGGCTGGTAGGAGAGCTAAACTACCATTCCTACCCACTAAAAATTAGGTGGGTGTCAGTGTTCCACTTTTTCTTGGGTGGAGTCAGTGGGACCCAGCAGGGAGCTGAACAACCACCCACACCTGGATCTTCAAGCGACACGCAGAGTGACTTCCTGAAAAAAAAAAAAAAAAGGTTAAATAGGACCTAGAGTCTCATAACACAGCAATCAACATTTCCAGGATAGAACTGAAAATAATCATAGCAAGAAAGATGATCATCTCAAACTGAATGAGAAAAGATAATTAAAAGACATCAACAACCCTGGCCGGTTTGACTCAGCGGTTGGACCGTCGGCCTGCGATCCAGAGACCCGGGTTCGGTTCCCGCTAAGGGCACGTACCTTGGTTGCAGTTTGCCCCCGGCCCTTGTTGGTCATGCGGGTGGCAGCCACTCGATGTGTTCCTTTCACGTCGATGTTTCTCTCTCTCTCTCTCTCTCTGTTCCTATCTCTCCCTCCCACTCTACCTGAACAAAAAATGGAGAAATGTCCTCGAGTGAGGATAAAAAAAAAAAAAAAGACATCAACACCTGTATGACTGGGATTATCTGACAAGGAATTTAAAACAACAATCATAAAAATGCTTCAATAAACAAATCATATATATACTTGAAACAAATGAAAAAAATAGAAAATTTAGCATGGAAAGAGAACATGAGAAAAAATGGAATATTTTGAACTGGAAAATACAGTAACCAAGTTGGAAGAGTTAAGTTGCTCAATCTATGCTTCAGGGGGTGTGACAGTGGGCTATTCAAGTTTTTAAAAATTTATCTTTATTGTTGAAAGTATTACAAATGTCAAATTTTAAGAGAAGTTATTCTAGTAAAAGATTGAGGACCCTTTTATTTTATTATGCAAAAATACAGTAACCAAAATAAAAGACTCAATGCATGTGCTCAAGAGCAGAATGAGAAGACAAAAGAAAGTATCAGTGAACTTGAACACAGAACAAGAGAAATTACCCAATATGAACAACAGAGATGAAAAGTATGCTGAGTCCTACAAAGAAACAGGAAAGATTGTGAGGCTGAAAAAGCACTCAAAGAAATAATGGCAGCAAATTCCCCAATTTTGGCACTAAACATAAGCCTACAGATTCAAGAGGCAGAGCAAACACCAAACAGGATAAACACAATGAGATACGTGCCAAGAAACATCATAATCAAACTTCAGAAAGACAAGAAAAATTTTTTGAAAGAAATGACACATTACCTATAGAGGAATAATGATACTGTACTATAGTTATGCAAAATGTTACCATTAGGAAAAACTGGATGTAGGGTACACAGATTAAATAGTACTATGGGGTATTATTTCTTTAACTTCATATAAATCTATACTTATTTCTAAATAACAAGATTTTTGAAAGTCCTTGTAGAAAAAAATAGACAAAATATATAAAAGGGCTATTCACAGAAAAGGAAATTTGAGTACCAAAAATATTTGAAAGGCTTCAATATACAATGGCTGTGGTAGTGACCTTTCACACTCACTGGGCCCTTAACTGACAAATATTAAATCACAAGCATCTGCATCCCCATTTAAGGATCCAGAAACCAAAGAAACCTTTGTTGAGATACGCTGAAATTGCTTCTGCTCTGATGTGGGCAATGATCCTTGGGCTTGACATTTTAGAACCTTAATCACATTTTATAGTATGAATGGATGGTCTCTTCCCCTCAATTTGAAACCAGCCCAAATGCAGGCAAATTTTTTCCACTGAATGGAGAGTCAATTATCCCAAATACTGAATATTTCTTTTGTTATTTTACTACTTTCAACTAGGGAAAAATAGTGTTTAAAATAAAAATTGAATTGTTAAAAAAGCTGGCCTCAAACAAATGCAATATAGTGCTGAGTTTTATCATCCTAATTAACATTATGAGGACACAGTAAGCAAAACATTATCTTAATTTAGGTTTGGTTTGTGTATTAGCAAAGATAATTCTCTATAAATGTTAGCATTTGATTAAAAAAATGAGAATCCATTTAAGAATTGTTTCTATGGGTCCAGGTTTCTTGCACCAACTCGATTCTTTTTTAGAAAACTAGGTAATAAAGAAAGGCAAGAAATAATACAAAAGCAACATAATTTTGACAATCAGATTTGTTACCACTGTAATTTTCATTCATCAAGAAATATTACAGGTAAATATAACTGCTCCTTCAAAACATTTTCCACTTCCCAAAAGTGAAATCCACAGTAATATATGGATCCATGGTCAACACACACTACTGTTCTTCCCATTATTTTATTTATACAAAAATATCAAGTTTTAGTGTACACTTTGCTTTTTATTAATATTATATATTGTGATCTATCCATGTAACTATGTCAAATTTGTATTCTGTAAATACTGTATTCTATCACAGAAATAATCACATATCAATCTATCTACTAATAGAAATTTATGCTATGTCTAATTCACAGTAATACAAACCATAATACAGTGAACTTATATATCTTTGTGCATATATGTAGGTGCTCTAAAGACAATACACCAAAATAGAATAAAGTGAGCACATATATCTCTTTGTGCACATGTGTGGGTGCCTCTGAAACCAATATACCAAAATAGGATTGATCCATATTTATGTGTGTGTGTGTTTAATCCTGTTACTCTAAAGTAATAAATATATTCCATTTGCATCAGTTTTAGAATTCTGCCTTTTATATTGTTTGTTAATTTATTTGCATTTTATTTTTATATATGGTATAGAGAGCTAACGGCTTTTATTAATATGAATCTTCCATTTATTAAATAGGTCATCCTTTCTCCAATAATTTCCATAGCAGTATCATACAGAAAATCTGCGTATCTTTCCTCCAATCCTCAATTTGTTTCCACCAATTTATTTACTCATCAAGAACATACTGTTTAAATGACACAGTTTTAAATAAAGTATATGATATCTAGTATATTTTTATTTTTCACACTTTTTCCAGCTCTTTGTAATCCTTTATATTCCAATATAAAATTTGAAATCAGTTTGTAAAATTCTTAAACTATAACTAATGAAAACTCTGAGTGGAAGTATTTTATAAGTAATTTAGAGATATGTGAAAACAGTTATTTTACAATGCTAAGTCTTTTCAGTGTTACCTTTCTAAATCTTTAAGGTGTTATTTTATGCTCTTCAAAATGTTTTATAATTTTACACATATAGTAATTCATTGTTGTAGCTATTCTTGGATATTTTATTTCAACACGTTTTCTAATTATTTCTCATATAAAAGGTTATATTTATAGTTTCTCTTTACCCAGTCTTTTTCTTGATAATACATTAGCTAGGAGCCCAAATATCATGTTGATAAGCTGACAGATTTTAATGAGAATGATAAATACATATTATCAATAGATAAGATGTCTACTAAAGGTTTTTGATAATCAGCTTTTTCATTATACAATTTGTAACCTTGGTAAGAATTCTCATGTTTCACAAATGTGTGACTTCTTCAAAAGGCTTTCCCATATTCATAGTTTTCTGTTCTAGAATCGATTATATAATCTGAAAGGAAGTATTAATTCCTTCTGAAGGTTTTTTTTATTCACAACAATCATGGGGTTTCTATTTCAAATGAGTATGAATTTTCTGGTGTCTAACAAGATGTGACTTTTGGCTGAAAGCCTTACCACACTCATTACAATGATAAGGCTTCTCACCTGTGTGTTTTCTCATATGAAGTGTAAGAGATGAGATCTGAGAGAAGGCTTTTCCACATTTACTACAGTCAAAGGGTTTCTCACCTGTATGACCTCGTATATGTATAGTAAGGGATGAGCTCTGGGAGAAGGCTTTTCCACACTTATTACATTCATAGGGTTTTTCACCAGTATGACCTCTCATGTGCACAATGAGGGAAGTTCTTTGAGAGAAAGCTTTTCCACATTCATTACATACATAGGGCTTCTCACCTGTATGACTTCTCATATGTAAATTAAGCAATGAGCACTGAGAGAAGGATTTCCCACATTTATCACATTCATAAGGCTTTTCCCCTGTGTGGCTTCTCAGATGAAGAGTAAGGGATGCAATTTGAGAAAAGGCTTTACCACATTTATTACAATCATAAGGTTTCTCTCCAGTGTGAACTTTCTGATGTGTAATAAAGTTTTGCTTTTGGCTAAAGGCTTTACCACATTCATTACATTCATAGGGTTTCTCTCCAGAGTGAATTTTTTCATGAGCAATGAGATTTGATTTCTGGCTAAAGGCTTTGCCACATTCTTTACATGTATAGGGCTTTTCTCCAGTATGAATTCTCTGGTGTCTAACGAGATTTGACATCTGAATAAATGCTTTTCCACATTCATTACATTCATAAGGTTTCTCTCTAGTGTGAATCTTCTGGTGTGTAATGAAATTTTTCTTGTGGCTGAAGGCTTTTCTACATTCCTTACATTCATAGGGTTTCTCACCAGTATGACTTCTCATATGTACAGTAAGGGCTGAACTTTGACAGAAGGATTTTCCACATTCATTACATTCATAGGGTTTCTCACCTGTATGAATTCTCACATGTATAATAAGCATGGAAAACTGAGAGAAGGCTTTTCCACATTTATCACATTTATAAGGTTTTTCTCCTGTATGACTTCTCATATGTAGAGCAAGGGATGCAATTCGAGGGAAAGCTTTACCACATTCATTACATGCATAAGGTTTCTCCCCAGTATGAACTTTCTGATGTGCAATGAGGCTTTGCTTCTGGCTGAATGCTTTTCCACACTCATCACACTCATAAGGTTTCTCTCCAGTATGAATTTTGTCATGATCAATAAGATTTGATTTCTGGCTGAAGAATTTCCCACATTCCTTACATGCATACGGTTTCTCTCCAGTATGAATTCTTTGATGTCTAATGAGATTTGACACTTTAATGAAGGCTTTCCCACATTCAATACATTCATAAGACTGTTCCCTACTGTGAATTTTCTGATGTTTTAGGAGTTTTTCCTTATGGCTGAAGGCTTTTCTACATTTGTTACATTCATAGGGTTTCTCTCCAGTATGAATTCGCAGGTGTCTGATGAGATCCAAGGTTTGACTAAACCCTTTTCCACAATGATTACACTTAAAGGGGATTACTACAAGATGTGATGAGTTATTGCCAGATGACTTTATAAGTTCATTATAGTCACAGTATTCCTTTTTGATAAGGATTCTCTCATTATTATGACAATCAAAATTATGTTCTAAACATTTCCCAAATAAGTTATAGTCATAGAAGTTGTGAATAGAAGGAAAAAAGTCTGAGTCTGGAGAAAATGCATAAGAAATTTTCTTATGACATTCACTGACTTTTTCTTCAGTCAATGTTTTGATGAACTTATCTCCAAGTTGTGTCAAGAGTCTGTTCTGTATATTCTGGTCATCAGTTCTCCACATTTCTCCTAAAACAGATTACAAATAAATGTTACTTCTAAATTTTTCCAATATTATGTCAAGAAAATTTCAAAATGTATGCTATTATAGGATTGATTCTTGGCTTAAGCCCTAGTTTTCCATTATTAAGTAAATTCCAGGAAAATATACTTTCTATTTCCTAAGCTTTAGAAAATTTTAGGAAGGTAAGTATGAGTAGAGGCAGATATTTATTAATACAAACACCCTCGACTGCTTTTAAATGGGCTCTTTAAATTGGATTAAATTGTTTGATAAATAAAAGAAAATGCAGAATTTTCAAATAAAGTAAGAAATGATAGAGAAAAAAACAAAGACAGGAAGCTAAAATTCATAAAACTATTTTGCAGGATTCTATTGAAGTACATTCTTACAAAATATTTGACAAATATTTTCTGGAAAATGTAAATGACCAAAATGACTATAAAATATAGAAAACCTATTAGTCCAATTTCCACAAAACAAACAGAAAAACATAAAAAGAAATCCCCTAAAAAAAAAAAAATAGAGCCCTGGCGGGTTTTGCTCAACAGTTAGAGCGTTGGCCTGTGGACCAGAGAGTCCTGGGTTCGATTCCCGTTAAGGGCACGTACCTCGGTTGCAGTCTGTCCCCGGCCCTGGTTGGGGTTGTGTGGGTGGCGACCACTTGATGTGTTTCTCTCACATCAATGTCTCTCTCTCTCTCTTCTTCCCTCTCTCCCTCCCGTTCTATCTGAAGATAAATGCAAAAAAGTGTCCTCGGGTGAGAATAAAAAAAAAAATAGAAAAGAACAGATTGACATGGAATTTAAACAAACATTTAAGGGACAACTCTCATGCTATACAAAATGTTATAAAAGAAAAAAGAAGAATTTCCCTTTGTGTGTGTGTGTGCGCACAATATTAATACCAAAACCTGATAAAGTCAACCAAAAAAGCAAATTATACACCGATTTAACTTATGAATATCAATATTAAAATTCTACATGAAATATCAAAATGACTCAGAAGGAAAATAAAGGGATCCAGAAGCACATTTAATATAAAATATGTCATAGCTGAGATCTTCATCCAGGAATATTTGTATGTTTCAACGTAGAAATATTTTTTCAATAAAAAATTCATTTACTATATGTAAATATGTCAAAAGTGAAAAATCAAGTAATGATTTCCAAAGATATTACAGAGATGATAAAACTCAGCATCCATTTTCCATTAAAAAACGCTTTATAAAATGGGACTAGACAGACACCTTATTTAACTTGAGAAATAAAGCTCAGTACAATCTAAACAAAAGCACCATACTTAATGGGGTAAATCCTATAGCAAACACATTAAAGTCAGGAAGAAGATGAGTACTATATCACTATTACTACAGTGCTGGACAGTAATAAATAGAGAAAGAAATCAGAGGTATAAAAAGTTGGAAAAGAAAGGTAAGATTAACATTATTTGTCAACAATAAAACAATTGTTCTGCAGAAGCAAGTCAGTTGACGTCATACCTGAAGAAACCTGAAACACTAATTCGAAAGAATATATGCACCCCTATGTTCATTGCAGCATTATTTATAATAGCCAAAGTGGAAACAGCCAAAGTGGCCATCAGTGGATGATTAGATAAAAAAAAGATGTGGTATATTCACACAATGGAATACTGCTTGGCCGTATAAAAGAAGGAAATCTTACCTTTTGTGACAGCATGAATGAACCTGGAGGTTATTATGCTATGTGAAATAAGCCAGTCAGAGACAAACAAATACCATATGATTTCATTTATATGTGGAATATAGTGAACAAAGTAATTTAACATACAAAATATAAACAGAAGCTTAGATACATAGACCAGACTGACAGCGGTCAGAGGGAATGGGGTTTGGAGGGCTGTAGGGCTTAGTGAAAAAAATGTGAAGGGATTAACCAAAATATTTATTTCCTCTCTCTCTCTAAAAAATAAAACCTTTTTTTTTTAAACAATTTTTTTAATTATTATTTTTTAATCCTCACCTGAGGACATTTTTTCATTTCTTGTTCAGATAGAGTGGGAGGGAGGGAGGGAGGGAGAGGGAGAGAGAGAGAGAGAAACATCGATGTGAAAGGAACACATCGAGTGGCTGCCACCCGCACGACCCAACGAGGGCCAGGGACAAACTGCAACCTAAGTACGTGCCCTTAGCGGGAACCGAACCTGGGCCTCTCTGGATCGCAGGCCGATGTTCTCACCGCTGAGCCAAACTGGCCAGGGCCTTTTTTTTTTTAAAAAAAAAGATGCTTGCCTTTACTCATAATAAAGGAAATGCAAATTCAAACTACCAGAAGTTATTTTTCACCTACCAATTTGGCAAATATTTATTAAATGCCAATAGCCTGTGTTGGTAGAAATATAAATAGTTAAAATCTCCTTAGTGGGTAAATACAAGACTTGGCAATATCTATCAAATAGAAATACATGTATGTGTATGAATATATATGTGGGTATGCATGTATATATATGTATATACATATTACACATACACACAGAAATACGAATATATACACATGACAAATGTAGCAGAAAATGTGAGCTAACAGAATAGTATTGTCTTAAAAACTTTTCTTGAAGTAAAATGTAGCCATTACTGAAGTATGAGAACAAAAGCTAACGATACAGTGGAAGTATAATTATGGGTACAAAATATGATGCTAAGGCATTTACAATGGAAGGAACAAAAAAATTTAGAAAAAGGACTATAAATGTTAACAGGTTTATTTGAACTATAATTCCATGAATATCAGAAAGCAAAAAGAAAGGATCCTGTGTAAAAAGGTGGGCAGAGACACTGAAGATGTCAAAAACAGAATGATTATGAAAGTAAAGCTGGAAATGTGTTAGGAAATATTGATATCTAACACACAGGTAAAAAGGCCAACTGGTCCTTTAAATTCCTTGGAAAGAAGTTCTGAGGAAAGAAGAATCTTATCTAGAAATGACTCCTTCAGCTTATAAAGAATTAACACCAATTGTCACTATAAATGTCTAGTCATTAGGGAAATATCTTTGAAGAACATTTCAGAGAAATCAACTATTCACATACTAACCATTAAAAGGGCCTGGCCCCTCCTCACCTGTCTGGTTCCCTCCCACTAACCTGAACAGTGTCTCTTTAACACTTCTTCCTCCACCACCCATGGTTCCTTTTCTTGCTCCAACTTATAAATCACATCAGGTTTGGTGAATGGAAAGCCTGTCAAAGGATAATTACATAAGATTTAGGCATAAATACTAGAACAAAGAATCATTTAAGAATTTAGGCTGGCACAGGGAAAGCATGCTTTCTAAAGGACAAGAAATGTGTGGTTTCCGGGGACTCTGCCCCCTGAATCATAACCAAAAAGGACCCTTTGTTTTGAAAGCTGCAGCATGCACATACACGTAAGTAAAAACATCTAAAGACCAAATTCGCTCTAACACTTAAAGGTCCCACACACTTCAGAAAACTGGGGGAAGGAGGGGAAGCAACTTTACTCCCAGAATTTGGGTTATACAGGAAACTACCCTTACCCACTGTGATTAAGTTGTTATAGTTTTCTAGCATCACATTCCGGTACAGGTTCCTTTGAGCAGGATCCAATTGCTGCCACTCTTCCTGGGTGAAGTCAATAGCCACATCTCTGAATGTCACCGTTCCCTGTAACAACAAACTCCTAACTCAATCTGAAGTCATTCATTTTAGATGATGTGGACAAAACATATTGAACTATCTTGTCATGATATGCACAGATAAGAGGTTATGAAAAATTTACCTGTTTTTTTAATTTCTAAAAGAAAAAAAAAATCACACTAGCAACAATCTATCAGTTTATGTTCATTTACTGAATTTGTAAGCACCTATCTTTAATAACCACCATGGGTTAAAGAGATCTTGGGCACCAATTTATATTAAGTGTGGAAGATGGGAGAATATAAAACTTTATTCAAGTTAACTGGTTTGGGAACTCACTAGATGCTTGTGATTCAATAAGACAGAAAAAAAAAAAATGAAAACAGGATTTGGATGGAAACAGAAGAGGGGAGAGAGGATATGCAAAGTTTGTGATATGGTAGAACATCCAACTAGAGATATACATTTATATATTGTTGGACATATTTTCATTAGATCAGAAGTCTACAATGAAATGAGGATTGCTCATTAGTTGTCTGCAGCCATGAAAATGGGCTATGATTGCTCAGAGTTCACATACATTGAAAAATGAGGGCTACAGACAGAATCATACAAATACCACCAAAGAAAAAATTCCATTAATAAATTTTTTTTAATGTTCTGAACTAGAACTATAAGCAGAACTAGGAGAAAACATTATCAAGAAAGCTTTGCCCTGGCCAGTTTGGCTTAGCGGTTGGAGCACCGGCCTGTGGACTAGAGAGTCCCAGGTTCAATTCCTGCTGGGGGCACACAAAAAAAGAGAAAGCTTTAGAATAAGTTTCAGAAATGAGCTATTGGTGACAAATTTCTTAAAAGTAATGTGATTTAAATATTAGAAATATATTATATTTTTCTTAGTTAAAAACTGAAGTGCCTAAAGGAATATAAACATAAGGCAAAAATCTTCAACAGCACTAGAACAAAGGAAGCTTATTTACATATTTCCTGCCCTTTGAGGAATATCTATGAGAGACAGGTGAAATAGAAAGAAATCACCAGGAGTTAATTCACAATCACTATTTCTAAGAATTTATTTCTAGGTCTTAAAGTATTCTATGAACATAAACATTCACTAACACTAAGGGTTCAGAGTAGGCTGTGGGACTAAAGAAATAATATTCTGGAACACTTTTCTGTTAAAGAGCGAGGCCTTTGAAATAAACAGGTTTAAGAAACCAAAGTCATTTATGGCTGAGTGACGTCCCTCATATACTTCCCCCTCTCCCACAACAACAATGTAGCATCCATCCATGGACAAAAGTGCCTTTGTGGGAATTTTGGGATCCAGCAATATATACCAAGGGACTCCTGAGGATTCTCACCCACCCATGTATTGGATAACGGGTATGCAGACCTTCATCCCAGCTGTAGACCCTACAGTAGCTCATGAACCAACTTTAGTCCCTCTTGGCTATGATCCAGGAGCTCCTGGAAAAAACTGTCTCAGACAATCACCCATGGATGACAGGTCTCCAGCAGTAAAGTTCCAGCAAACCACTGGAGCAAAACATGAGTTTTGATTAATCAGAAATGGTAAAAGAAACAGTTTGACTTTACTCCCACCACCTCTGTGGCACAGATTAGAAATATGAGAGATCCTCCTGGCCTGTGAGCTCATCCATAGAGGAAAGTGAGAGAGTGTGAGTGAGCATTTGGCTTCCTAGCTGCGCAGGATAGTGCCAAAGAAGCTCATTTCTCTTTTGTCTCACCCATAGTACTGAATTCTAAGCTACACGATGAGGGAAGGAAGAGTCTGAGAGAGTGGAATAAATCTCTTATGAACATTAACAGGACACAGATCCTACTAACTGCATTGCAGAGCCAATCAAGAAGCCTGTCCATGAGCTTCTGGGTATGCTTTGCCTATAGATTCCCCCAAATGCTCCATGGGCACCATAGAACTCTTCAGCCCTCACCTGCGCGCGCGCACACACACACACACACACACACACACCCTTGTGGCTGTCTCCCTGTGCAAGCTCCCGATGATGGTAGTAAGAGTGAGCTTTGGCAGATGACTACTATGCATGTGCAGAGTCAGCCTGAATCTACAGGCTAGTGAGAGACCACAAGCGTGAGCTTTAGCACTATCTTTGGGGGAAAAAAAGAGAGGCTCTCAGCAAGTATCCTGCCTAGTGTGTTGCAGGATCAAGAAAAGGCATACAAACTTATGAATTCTGCCACAAGAGGGCGAAGAAGAGTGGAGTAGGTATAGTCACAGAAGCTTGGAGAAAGCCTCAGAATCCCTAGCAGAGTTGAAAGTTATTTCTCTCCTGACAGTAGTTAATAAAGACTGAAGGAGGTCACTGTTTTCTTCAATGCAAAACTTCAAAGAACATGAAAATTCAAGGGAACATAATACCACAAAAGGATCACAATAATTTTTGAGTTACTGATCCCAAAGACATGGACCCCCTCCCACCAAAAATACAAAATAGAGGTTTTAAGGAAACTCAAAGAGCTATATAAGAAAACACAAAAACACAATTCAACAATATCAGGAAAACAAAACATGAACAAAATAAGAAGTTAAATAAAGATGTAAAAAAAGAACCAAGCAAATTCTGGAGCTGAAGAATACAATGAATAAAATGAAGAATTCAATAGCAAAATGCAACAGCAAAATGGATCAAGTGGAAGAAAGAATCTGTAAGTTAGAAGACAGGAAGTGTGAATTATTGAGTCAGAGGATAAGAAAGAATGAAAAAAATGAAGACAACCTCTGTGAATTATAGGATATCATCAAATAAAACTATATTCACATTATGGGAATCTCAGAATTAGGAGAGAGAGGGGAAAGGAGTAGAAATATTATTTAAAGAAATAATGCCTGAGAACTTCCCAAATATAGGAAGAGATTTTGATATCCAAGTTCATGAAGCTCATAGGTTACCAAACAAACTCAATTTAAAGAATCCTCTCTAAGACACATAGATAAAAATAAAAAATAGAAGAGAATCTTAAAAGCAGCAAGATAAAAGAAACTTGTAACTTATAAAGAACCCCCATTAGGATAACAGTAGGTGGTTGTTTTTTTGTTTTTTAGCAGAAACCTCACAAGCCAGGAGAGAATAGGATGTTATATTCAAAGTACTGAAAGGAAGAAAAAAACAACCCTGCAAACCAAGAATATCTACTATCCACCAAAGTTGTTCTTCAGAAATGGAGAGAGACTCTTCCAACAAAAGATGAAAGAGTTCCTCGCCTTTAGACCTACCTTAGAAGAAATGCTGAAAGTTCTTCAAGCTGAAATGAAAGGATGCTAATTAGTAACATAAAACATAAAAAATATACACACACTGGTGAAGGTAAGTATATAGTAAAATTCAGAAAACTGATACTGAAATATGGTGAGGGTGTTAAGCATTTAACTCTGATATAAAGGTTAAATAATAAGTATTAAAAATAACTATAGCTAAAAAGTAAAGAGGAAGATATAAAAAAGCGGCAGCATCTACCATGTTCATGAATTGGAAGAATCAACATCATTAAAATGTCCATGCTACCCAAAGCAATCTACAGATTCAATGCAATCCCTATTAAAATACCAATGGCATATTTCACAGATCTAGAACAAAATTTCCAGAAAAAGAGCTAAATAAAATGGAGGCAAGCAACTTACCAGACATTGAGTTCAAAGTAATGGTTATAAGGATGCTCAAGAAACTTAGAACTACAAGAAACTTAATGGAAGCTATAAGGAACATAGTAGGAACTACATCAGCATGAAAATAGAACATAGAAAACATAAATAAGAATGAGTCAGAAATGAAGAATCCATATCTGACATCAAGAATACACTAGAATGAATTAAAAGTAGGCTAAATGAAGCAGAGGATTGAATCAGCAATTTGGAAGACAAGGTAAACCAAAACATTCAATCAAAGTAACAAAAAGAAAAAACTAAGAAAAGAGGATAGTTTAAGGGAACTTTGGGACAACATAAAATATAACAATATCCACATCAAAGGGGTACCAAATGGAGAAGAAAGTGGGCAAGGGATAGAAAATCTCTTTGAAGAAATAACAACAGAAAACTTCCCTAATTTGGTAAAGAAAAAAGTCACACAAGTTCAGAAAGCACAGAGAGTCCCACCCAATAAAGACAAACTCAAAAAGACCCACACCAAGACACATCATAATTAAAATGGCAAAGGTTTAATTAAAAAGACAAAGAGACAATCATAAAGGCAGGAAGAGACAAATAGTCAGTCATATTCAAGGGAGTTCTCATAAGGCTGTCAGCTGATTTTTCAACAGAAATATTTCAGGCCAGAAGAGACTGGCATGAAGTATTCAGAGTAATGAAAAACAAGGACCTGAAACCAAGACTACTCTATTCAGCAAGGCAATTGTTTAAAATGGAAGGCAAAATAAATAACTTCTCACACACAAAAAAAAGGAAAAGGAGTTCATTGCCACCAAATGAGCATTGCAAGAATTGTTAAAGGGACTGCTTTAAGGAGAGAAAGAAAGAGAGAGGGGAGAACATAGATATAAAGAAAAATGGCTATAAATAAGTATCCATCAATAATAACCTTCAATGTAAATGCATTAAATGCTCCAATCAAAGACATAGGGTAGCTGAATAAGAAAACATGACCCATATATACGATGTCTATAAGAGACCCACCCCCGAATAAAAGACTCACACAGGATGAAAGTGAAGGGATGAAAAAAATATTCCATGAAAATGGAAATTTTAAAAAGCTGGTGTAGCAATACACATATCTGACAAAATAGACTTCAAAACAAAGGCCATAACAGGGGACAAAGAAGGTCACTACATAATAAAAGGATCAATTTAGCAAGATGACATACCCTTGAAAACATATATGCACTCAACATAGGAGCACCTAAATATATTAAAAAAAAACTCTTGGTAGACTTTAAGGGACAAATCAGCAACAATACAGTAATAGTAGGGGACATTATCACCCCATTATCATCTCTGGTTAGATCTTCCACATACAAAAATCAACAAGGAAACAGTGACCTAAACAACAATCTGGATCAGATGGATTTCATTCATATTTACAGAGTATTTCATTCCAAAGCAGAGATTATGCATTCCTCTCAAGTGAATATAAAATATTATAAAAGATAGACTATATATGTTAGAACACAAAAGAAGTCTGAACAAATTCAAGAAGACAGAAATCATACAAAGCATCTTCTCTGACCACAATGGTATGAAAGTAGAAATCAACTACAATTTTTAAAAAACATTAAAAGACTAAATCACATGGAGGGTAAATATTGTGTTATTAAACAATGAATGGGTTACCAAGGAGATAAAAGAAGAAATAAAAAATTTCCTGGAAATGAAAATAAACATATAACAACCCCAAATCTATGGGATACAGTGAAAGTAGTCCTGAGCACAAAGTTCATGGCATTACAGGCCTACCTCAAGAAACAAAAAAACTCTCCCTGGCCAGTTTGGCTCAGCGGTTGGAGCGTCAGCCTGCAGACCAGAGAGTCCTAGGTTCGATTTCCGCTAGGGGCATGTACCAAAAATATACATATATAAAAATAAAGAGTCCATATCTCTTAAAAAAAAGAAACAAAAAACTCAAGTAAACAATCTAACCCTACACCTAAAAGAATAAGAAAGAAAGAAAAAAAAGAAAGAAGGAAAGAAAGGCCCTGAGTAAGTAGAAGGAAGGAATTAATAAAGATCAGAGCAGAAATAAATGACATAGAGTCTAAAAAGAATAAAAAATATCAATGAAACCAAGAGTTGGTTCTTTGAAAAGATAAACAAGATTGATGAACCTTTAGCCAGGCTAACCAAGAAAAATAAAAGAAAGAGGACCCAAATAAATAAAATCAGAACTGAAAGAGGAAAAGTAACAACTGACATGACAGAAATACAAAGGACTGAAAGAAAATACTATGAACAATTATATGCCAACAAATTGGACAACATGGGTGAAAAGGACAAATTCCTAGAAACATACAATCTTCTAAAACTCAATCAGGAAGAATCAGAAAACCTGAATAGAATGATGACAACTAATAAAATTAAAGCAATAATAAAATAATAGTAATAACTACCAGCAAATAAAAGTCCTGGACCAATGGCTTCACAGGCAAATTTTACCAAACATTCAAAGAAGAACTAGTACATATCTTCCTCAAACTATTCCAAAAAATTCAAAAGTAGGAAAGGATCCCTAACTCTTTTGATGAAGCCAGTATTATCCTAACCTATACACACCATACACAAGAATAAACTCTAAATGAATTAAAGCCTTAAATGTCAGCCCAGCTGGTGTGGCTCAGTGGCTGATCATTAATTCATGCAACAAGAAGTTGCTGGATGATTCCTGCTCAGGGCATATGCCCAGGTTGTGGGCCAAATCCCCAGTGGGGGACATGCAGGAGGCGGCCTATCGATGTTCTCTCTCATCAATATTTCTATCTCTCTCTCCTTTTCCCTTCCTCTCTCTCTAAAATCAATAAAGAAAAAAAAATTTTTTTAAAAAGACTTAAATGTCAGACTTAAAACCATAAAAATCATAGAAAAAACATAGGCAGTAAAGTCTCAAAATTTTCTCATAGAAATATATTCTCTAATATATTGCCTTGGGCAAGTTACACAAAAGAAAAAATAAACAAATGGGACTATATTAAACTAAAAAGTCTTTGCAGAGCAAAGAAAACCATCAACAAAATAAAAAGACAAAGCACTGAATGGAAGAAGATATTTATCAATGATACATCTGATAAGGGCTTAATATCCAAAATTTATAAGGCACTTATAAAATTCAACTAAAAAAACACACAAAATAACAATCCAATTAAGAAATGGGCAAAGGACCCGAACAGACACTTCTCCAAAGAAGACATACAGATGGCCAAGAGACATATGAAAGGACATTCAAGGTGACTAATCATCAGAGAAATGCAAAATAAAGCTACGATTAGATATCACCTCATACCTATCAGAATGGCTATCATCAATAAATCAACAAACAACAAATGTTGGCAAGGATGTGAAGAAAAGGAAACCCTCGTGCACTGGAGGTGGGAATGCAGATTGGTGTAGCCACGGTGGAAAGTAGTATGGAGTTACCTCAAAAAATTAAAAATGGAACTATCTTATGACCCAGCAATCACACTTCTGAGACTATATCCAAAGAAACTTGAAACACTAATTTGAAAAAATATATGCACCCCTATGTTCATTGCAGCAGTATTTACAATAGCCAAGATTTGAAAGCAGCCCAAGTACCCATTAGTAAATGAGTGGATAAAAAAAAGCTGTTGCACTTTTACACAATGGAACACAATTCAGCCTTTAAAAAGGAAATCTTACCTTTTGTAACAGTATGGCTGGACCTGGAGAGTATTATGCTAAGTGAAATAACTCAGTCAGAGAAAGACAAGTACCGTACAAGTTCACTTACAGGTGGAATGTAAGGAACAAAATAAACTAACAAAGTAGAGACAGACTCATGGATACAGAGAACAGACTGACAGCTGTCAGAGGTGGGTGAGAAAGGTGAGGGATCAAGCAAAGAAAAAAAAGGACTCATGGACACAGACAACAGTATGGTGACTACCAGAGGGAAGGGGAAGTGGGGGGAGGTAGAGGAGGGTAATGGGGGCATAAATGGTGGTGAAGGGAGACTTGACTTGGGGTGATAAACACATAATACAATATACAGATGATGTAGTACAGAACTGGATACCTATATAATTTTATTAACCTAGGTCAATTTAATAAATTCAATTAAAAATTTTAAATAACTAAAATAACTGAAACATCTTTGATTTTAAAGTCTTCTGAGCTCTACAGGGGTTGGCAAAAGTAGGTTTATAGTTGTTCATACAATATGAACATTATATAAAAAATAATACAATAATAATACAGGAATAAACTGTTTCACATACTCACAGTAGTAAACCTACCTTTGCCCACCCCTGCATATTCAAATCATAGATTTTGTAGGAAAACAACAAAACGGGCATGATGTTGAATGCTATTTTTTGTGTGTGGTAAACCACACAGCAAATTCACCATTTTAACCATTTTATTTTTATTTTTTGAATTTATCTTCAGATAGAGCAGGAGGGAGAAAGGGAGGAAGAGAGAGAGAAACATTGATGTGAGACACATCGACTGGTTGCCACCCACACGACCCCAACTGGGGCCAGGGACGAACTGCAACCAAGGTACATACCCTTAGCAGGAACTCAACCCGGGACTCTCTGGTCCACGGGCTGACACTGTAATCGATG